AACTTATAATCAGTATTAACCACAGCTTACTGTCTTTCACAATTCACAACTTGACAGCTCAATAGAGCACGGCTGGTCCCCGGATGGACCGGGAACCCCTACCCCATCCGCAGTCCTCCCGGTTGGACCGGCCGGTGGCCCGGGCCGGTTCCCTCCCGGTTGCCCCAAGCGCATTTTCGCTGGGGCTTGAATTTTTTTTTTTGGCGGCGCAATTGTGTTGCGGAGGCCTCTTGTGGGCAGGCCCTGACCCGCAATTACGAAACCGGGTCCTGCAGGCCCCGATTTTCGAAGTCCAAAAAGTGGCCAATCTTGGCCGCCGATCGTTGTAGATCAGCGGCAAAGATCGACCACTGTTTTGAATCACTTCTGGCGGGAAACCGAATTGCGCTGTGGGGGAAAACGCATCGCACATTCAACCCCGCTCACCTCCAGTCTGTGAAGCCGCTCTGTCGTCGCCTCGGACAGCCAGCCGCGCCATCGTCGCCACCGCCAGCCAGCCGCGGCATCACTCGGTGCAGCTGCGCCATAGTAGGTAAGTCTCCGCGGGGTGCATCATCACCATCGTCGCCTCCGCCAGCCAGCCGCACCATCGCGCCCCCCGCCGACAAGCCACTCCATCACTCCCCCAGGTTTGTTTCTTCTCCTTCTTCTTTTTCTCCGTGGTCACTCTCCTCGCCCATTAGCCATAGCCGTCCTCCGCTTCTTCTTCTTCTTCTTCTTCTACCTCCTCCTCCTCCTCCTCCTCTTCTAGTCCTCCTCCTCTCTTAGCCATCAGCTTGATTTCTTCTTCTTCTTCTTCTTCTTCTTCTTCTTCTTCTTCTTCCTTCTCCTCCTCCTCCGGTAGCCATACCCGTTCAAGTTTTTATTTATTTTTTCGCTGCTGCTTCAACTCCCCTGCGTTCTTTTTCTTCTTCTTCTTCTTCTTCTTCTTCTTCTTCTTCTTCTTCTTCTTCCTCCTCCTCCTCCTCCTCTTCTTCTCTCCCCTCTTCTTCTTCCTCCTCCTCCTCCTCCTCCTCTTCTTCTCTCCCCTCTTCTTCGTCATTTTCTTCTTCCTCCTCCTCCTCCTCCTCTTTTCTTCATCATCTTCTTCTTCTTCTCCCTCCTTCTCCTCCTCCTCCGTTAGCCATAGCTGTTAATTCTTTTTATTTTTTTTCTGTTGCTACTTCAAGCTTTGAACTCCCTTGTGTTCTTCGTCTTCTTCTCCCTCCTCCTCCTCCTCTTCTCCTCCTCCTCCTCCGTTAGCCATAGCTGTTATTTTTATTTTTTTTCGTCCCCCCCCCCCCCCCCCCCCCCCCCCCCCCCCCCAAAAAAAATTCCAATATTCAGAGTTTTACTGCGAAATCCGACAGATCTCGGCAAGCACAGTTGGATCCCGCAAAAAAAAATTAAAAATTAAAAAAATTAAAAATTTCAAATTTGGCCATTTTTTTGGGCCATCCGGTTTGCCAGCTGACCCCCCCTGGCCCGGTCCGGCCCCGGTTGGACCGGGCCAGCTCTACCAGCCAGTTGCCGGCCCAGCCCTGCAATTGACTCAATATTGTCACAAACATTGACAAAGGCTCACACAACACTTGAAACCAGTTCTCAACAGACCAATCCCAAGTCACTTCAGAAAAGAGTACGAAGCTGGAGTGGTGAAGTGCCACGTGGCAAACGTGCGATGCAAAGAAGCCAACACATCATTCGGGAGCAATACAGGAGAATAGCCGACAAGAGTAGCTGCGACGTGGACGGGAGGTTTTGCCACAACAGTGACACGGTTAATGTGGTCAACATGGTCAACGATGCCGATGGAATCGACTGATCCTTTACTTCAGGGCGCCGCTCAGTGGCTTTCGCTTCTTCAGGCGAGTCACGACCTTCTCCGACAGAAAGTGGATGAGATGAGGATGGTGGCTGATGGGGGGAACACACTGCCATATCTCGCACACCAGAGCATGTTGCAGAGCCTTTTGCACATCATCACGAAGCTGGAGGAGGGGCCAGCTTCTTATTTGGCAAGGTTCATTGACCAGCGACAGGCGGCAATTTTGATGTGACACTGCTACGCAGTCCTTGAGGAGGGGCAAGCACTGTGTGTCGTGTCCGCGGAGTGCTGGTATGCTCAGTTCGATGTGGAGGACGAGGACGATTTGCCATCATCACCTTCAACACCTATGCAAGTGGTAGGATGTCCATGCATCGGCGAAAACAGAAACAACAACATCAACAACAATGACAACAACAGCAATATCGATGCAATAGCTGCCGGTCCCTTTGACGGGGATTCTTGCACCGGCGAGATTGGCGGCATCAATAGCTATAACAACACCACCAACAACAACACCAGCAGCGATATCGACGGTGTGATCTCACGATCGTGTGCTGGCGAAAGCGGCAACGACAACAACAACAACAACAACAACAACGATGACAACAACAACAACAACAACAACAACGCAGAGGACGCCAGTTCTAGTGATGGTGATTCTGACACTGGCGAGATCCGCGGTTCCATCAGCTTCAACAACAACAACAACACTGATGGATGTAACAACAACGATAACAGTAACGAGCGATTCATCGATAGGGTGACTGGCGAAATTGACATCCACAACAACAACAACGACAATAATGAAGAAAAATGTGGTGAGTGCTTCGGGGGATGGGCGACGGCTCTTTTCTCCTCTATCCCCCTTCTTTTCTCTGTTCTGGCCGCCGATTATTGAAGGGGGGGTGTGGAAAGGTGCACAGTGGTGGTGCGAAGGGGTGGGGTAGGGATAGGGTCTTCCTTTGGTTTTCGTCGACAGGGATCAACGTTTGGATGTGCTTGATTTCGCCTGACTGGAATTGATTGCCCTTTACGAATGTTGATGGCACACCAATTACTATGAACACAAGTATTCACCTTGTGGCGGCCCGGGGAGAGGTGCTGTTGCATATGTTACTAGGGTTTGATGGTTGTTTCTGGAGTGAGTCGCTTGGTCCCGGCCACGTGGAGAGGGCGGAAGAGTAGGACTCTTATCTGAGGCTGCTCTTTCATCCTTTTGTGATTTCGATTTCTTTTTTTAACCGGTGTTCTCCCCTATTGAGCGTGTTTTTGTTAATTAGTGCTATAGGGGAGACACATGCGCTGGCAACACTGGGTAGAGAATTGCAGAAGGAGAAGCCAAACCTTGTCCGGATCTTTCCCCTTCTTACTGTACCGGATAGTAGTTGAATAGGGCAGGGTAACGGTCCTAGGGTTTGATGGGCAGGCAATCCCCTCGCTCTAAGGCAATCAATGCTGCCCATCCCTGAGTGCCTGCGCATTTATAACTGTTCAAACAATTGATTACAATGATCAGTGACGCTGAACCCGCTTTCCAGCAGGTGTTGCTCCCCACCAATAGATGAAGCCCTCCCGAGACTGCAAGTGGTGTCTGCTCCTATCAGCACCCCTAGCATCATCTTGGGTCGTTTTTTTAAAAAAAAAAAAAAAAAAAAAAAGACACACAAAACAAAACAAAACAGAACAGAGTACGGAAATCAGAAAAAAACAGAACTTTGAACTTTGAAGTTAGACTTTCTAATCCATATTCATATGAAAATCGAAAATATAAACTGTTAAGTTATTCAGATCTGCATAAGAAGTACTAAGAACAGATCTGAGATCTGGTCAGGACCAGATATAAGACGGGATCTCAGATCTGACCAAAATCATCTCTCTCTCTCTCTCTCTCTCTCTCTCTCTCTCTCTCTCTCTCTCTCTCTCTCTCTCTCTCTCTCTCTCTCTCTAGCTTGATGTTCTGTGGCGCTTTGCAGCCAGCGCTTCATTTTTGGAATCATCCTCATCCTCATCCTCATCCGATGAACTACCAGCGTAGTACAACAGCAGAGGGAGCTGTTGGAAGCGTCTGGCGGCGTCCGGTAGGCCCTGAAACGGCCAAAAAATACCGGGGGCATTTTTTGGGGGCAGCTTAGAACCTGAAAAACGTCGTAGCCCCCCGCAAAAAAAAAATCGTTTTTTTCAAAATTGGGCCCAATCCAGACCTAGTGGACCAGACACCGGACCCATACCCAGACCACCGGATCGTCTGGATTCCGGTCCAGACGTCCGACCAGTTGCCATGGGGTAAACGCTAGCCAATTAAAGGTAGGAAGGACATACTCGGAGAATTCTGAGGTTACATTACGAAAAAGAGTGTCACGGGAACGGTGACAACGGCCCAAAAAGGAAAATGATGCCTGATTAAAAGACAAGAACGCTTCTGGCATGACGATCCAAAGAAAAAACAAGAGTCGACACTCTTAAAAAAAAAGAAAGAAAGAAAAAAAACTCAAAAGTGCAAAAGTCAAGCGTGGACCGGGGGAATAGGAGCCGGACTGTTGCTCCCAGAATGGCAGGAGCCACAACCGAGAGGTTCTGTTGTTCTCAAAAAAAAAAAAAAAAAAAAAAAAAAAGAGTGGAACACTGGAGCACCAAATGAATTTCCTTCCTTCTCGCGCTCTCCTGTCCATGGACCATTTGTGATGGTCATTCCTCCCAGTCCACCACAACCCCCAATTATCATGCTTCTAAGTTTCCCCCATACCCCTTACCCCAACCGCATCTTCATCATGATGCATTGGACTAAGAACGAATTTTCTTCCCCTCGTCCCAGTGCATCACATTGCACGCTATGTATGCGAGTACATCGTATGAGGCCCATACAACGCAGACGATATTTCTTTTACCCGTTCATACCATGTACAAAAATGTTTGGTTTTTTACCCGATTCAACCCCAATTGTGATTTTTTATCTGAAAATCCGTTGCGAATTTCACTTTTTGTCGGAGCCTTTGCAGCAAAACTAAGTTATTTAGAATGATGTCTTCCATTACATTTTTTTTTTCAGAATTTTTTAGAACTTTTGTTTGTCACAAAAGTGCTGCCGTCGGCAGAGTTCAATGGAATACAACACGGAGTACAACTCACGAACAAGAATTACCAAATTTTTGTACACGAGAAACACCCAATGGAGTCCAATGCTCCGGCGGCCACCAACGCATATTCCATAGTTGACTATGCCGCAAAATACAACAACAATCTCTTCACATCCCAAACACCAACGAAGCACCCTCAAGAGGTACTACATACGAGAGAAAGGTTGCTACAAGCTCTAAAAGAACGACTCTCACAGGAACAGAGAGACAACAGCTAGAAAAAGAGATCACCCCACAAAAGGTTTAGGAGGCTCTGCAAGACATGGAGGAGGACACTAGGGATAGACTCCTTCCCCAAAGAGTTTTGGGTGAGGACAACCTCATGGGATACATTTTGGCAGTCCAAAGAGAGGGTTCATTCGGAGGTATGATTGGCCAGGGAGTCACCACACTCCTTTATAAGAAAGAGGACAAAGAGGGCATAAGAAATTACAGACCCATCACCCTCTTGCCTGCCCCCTATAAAATGGTTGCCAAGGCACTAACTAATCGCCTGCTCCCGTTCATGAATGTGCTGATACACCCAGACGAGACTGGGTTTATGCCCAACCGCAACATCCAAGATAATATCTTGTTGGTCAATGAGACCGTCAAATATGCCCGTCAACGCAATGTCCGGGCTGCTATACTATTCATAGATTTTAAGAAAGCTTACTATCATGTGGATTGGGACTTCCTAGATATGTGCCTCACTAAGATGAATTTTGGACCGGCTTTTAGTCCCTGGATCCGAATCCTCCATCGATCGGCTTCTACAAACATTATGCTCAATGGACATCTCTCACCGGCAATTCAATTACAAAGATCAGTGAGACAAGGGGATCCCATCGCGCCCTTGCTATTCATGATTGTAATGGAAGTTTTGGCCTTGCTAATCAGATCTCACCCCGACATTGCCAAAGTGCCCATCCCGGATTTTCCCCAGCATTTGGTCCCAATGCCATCGTCGTTTGCAGACGATCTCATGGTTCTCATAAGAGCAGATCCGGATAGTCTCAGGGCCCTCTCTCAGGCGATACACCTGTCTTTATTGGCAGTAGACATAAAAGTTAATTGGGGTTCATAAACGGAAGGGTGGTGGTTCCACCTGCAAGCGGTGCCCCCTCCACTCGAACCGAGGGTGGCATGGGCCCAGAAGGAAGATGCCATAAGAATCCTGGGGGTGCGACTTACGACAATATGCATGTCGTCGAACCATAGCGATGTGTTAGTGGACACAACCATCGATAGACTGACAAAATGGGAGAGGCTACATACCTTGTTGGTGGGCCGGGCCCTAGCAATTAACAACGCTATCCTTGCAGCAATCTGGTACAAACCAGCAGTCTGGCCGCTCAAGAAGCAACAAAGCACCAGGCTCGGAAAGATGCTCACAAACTATTTGTGGAAGAACAACGCAAACGCTCTTGACTGTGTGAGCCGAGTGAGTTGGGATATCCTCACACACAACCAAGAACCAATGGGGACTGGCGATATTAGACCCGGAAAGGGGAAAGTGAGGCTCTGATCTTTAAAGTCTTCATAAGACTGCTGATAGGCAATGACATCTCATGGGGCCCCTTGGCCTGCCTGCAAATTGTCAGTCTGGCCTCAGTGTCGACAGTAAACAGTTCAATACACCCCTTTCAATGGCTAACGAATAAACACTGGACAATCCCCGCTCCCCCACACGAGAGACAGGGGAACACCCCGACCCAACTTACCACAAGTGACATCAACAACGACCCGTTTTGGCCCAATATGATCAAACTCTGGACGTGGTGCGGACCACAGCAGAAACATCCCCCTCACAGTTGGGAGGATGTGTGGCGCCAACCTCTCTTTGGAAAAAACCCCTACACGAGGAAGGCACTCCCTTCAAGCTAACAACAAATTCACTTTGGCTCACATGGGCCAAGAAAGGGGTTTACACAATGGGGGACTTATGGGACCCGACAAGAGCCGACTGGGCCACGGCGAACCAGCTGCAATGAAAATTGAAGCACGTGAAGAACGTGGAAAACAGAATGTTCCAATTGAGGGAAGCTCTTCCAGTGGCTTGGAGGCTGGCTCTCGCACGGGCCCCACGGTGCTGCCGAAAGACTGGGTGATAAGATATACAGATTTGTCCCTCTCACAGGTCATACATAAGGTAACACAGAAAGATGAAGGGAGGTGCACTCTACAGCCCCACGAAACAGAGATCTCGGGGGCCAGGTTCTGCAAATTGACAAGGAATGAAGAACTAGATACGACTGCAATGTGCGGAGGACGACAACTTATTAGAGTAGTAGGAGACACAGACAACGGTTATTTCGTCTACGAGCCCACAATACCGATTGACAGATTGCCGTTTGATCCAGCCGAATGGGAATGGCCGGGCACAAAACCCATGTGTGTGTGGGAGTACACGGTGAAAGGGGCTTATAGAACCTCGTGACGGGCACTGCCGATCAACGAAGTGATATCAGATAGATGGGCACTGGACTCACCAATGGACCCGGACCTGCTCCTCCACCTGCCATGGGCCAAGTATTATAAGATCACGCCTACCAATCTCATATCCTTGCAGTGGCAGATTCTGCACCGCTGCCTTCCCACCCCGGATTGGCTTGTGTCAAGGACGGACTTGGAACAAAAGGGGCCGCTCTCTCCCATCTGCACATACTATGGGCGGGTGCCGCCGCCTGCTAGAGCTACAATGAAACATTGCCTGCTGGCGTGCCGGATGGTAAGGGAATTGTGGCAATGGTGGGATGCAGCATTCTACTCTCTCACAAACACACACACTCCATGGGACCTGGGCCTCCTATTGCTTGGCAAGAACCAACATTTAATGGGCCAATGGTCCCCGTTCGCAATTAACCTCTTCTCTTACATGAGACTGCACATCCTGATGTTGGCCTGGAGGGCAAGGTGCTCCTCTGAAAGAAAAAAACACAGATTTGGACTCCAACAAGCACAACAGACGGTGGAAGACATCATCAGATCCCATACACAAGAAGCTTGGAAATCCTTTAAACGTGATCTTCGAGAAGAGAAAGACCACGAACTCAGAAAAACTATGACCGACAATTATCGCCAACTATGGCAGGACCCAAATAAGATTCTCTCAGAATTGGACTCAGCACTCAAAATCCACTGGAAGCCATGGAGGACCACAGAACCTACATGGCAACGCAGGCCTTTCACGGAGTTCGAAGTTCCCTACCTTCCGACTAATTTTGTGTTAGTCACAGATGGCCCTCTCATCAGCTCCTGTCACCGTGCCTACCCGCCCCGCGGCCGCGTGGCGGCCAGTGGGGGGGAGGGGCGGGGTTTTCTAAAGTGGATTGGGGTTGCACAAACCCGGCC